CCCCCCCCCCCCCCCCCTCTCTCTATCGTTGCCTCTTGAGCTTGAGCCCCTCGCACCCCCTCTTGGGCTTCCCCCGTGGCATCCTGCGGTACATGAGGGTCTCGGTGTAGAAGAGCTTCCACGTCCGCTTGGGCCGCTGGCTCGGCCACCACGGGATGGCGCCCTTCTTCCAGTCCCGCTTCTTGTACTTCTTGCGCTTGAACTTGCGCATCCCGTAACGCTTCCGCTGCCTCGTCCGGATGCACCACAGGGGCAACTTCCTCCTGCCTCCGTGCTCATCTGCGTCGGGCGCGATCCTCTCGTCAGCAGTGTCTGGCTCGTCGATCGGTGGCTTCTCTGCTGGTGGTGGGGCGTCATGGTGGTCGCTGTTGGAGGGATGGTCAACAGACGGCGGTCTTGATGGGCCGGGGGGAGCCTCGATTTCGGCCAGGGGGGATGGCACAGATGGTGGGAAGTCGCCTTGCAATGGGATCTCACTGAGGGGATCAAAGCCGTCCTCCCTGTCCAACTCTCTCTCGTGCTGCACGATAAGCTGAAGCCTTCCAGAGCCGATGACACGCGCTCGATGCCCACCCTCATTAACAGCACAGCGCCACTCATGAGCTGCAGATCTCGGTGAATAATAGGACGAGCAGGGCTGGGGAGGGTCCGATGGCTGCAGCAGTGGCTGAATGAAGCGCGTGCGTGGAGGGTTTGGCGGCGGCAGCGGCAACGCTGGATTGATGCTGTGTCGAGATTTGAGAGATAAAGCCCGCCGTACGGGAGGCGGAAGGCTCCCTGACATTGCCATTGCAGTACATGCGGCGTTTCTTCTTCCCGATCGCCCCTTTAGCTCGCAGCGCTGCCGCGGGTTTGGTTCACTCCCTTGCATGAGTCGGTTCTCTTCTTTTCGAGTTCGCTACACTGTCCAAAGCACCATCGACAACGAATACCCCCTCTTCTACAGAGACGATGTACGCACACGAGTCAGACGAGAAAGCCCCATGACCCATTCATGCTCATCCTCGCACACGCCGCTAACCGTTGGTGGCTGCAGGTGCCGGAAGAGTACATAATCACGGCGTCGAAGCTCAACGAGCTGCTCATCGAGAGGGACAAACACGCCGAGTGCATGAAGGAGCTCAGGCAGCGGTTCAGCGCCAACACGGAGGCTGCGACGGTCGCCGGCCTTTCTCTCGCCTATCAGCAGACGGCAGTGGACCCCTCTGCAGCAACACACCGGCCCGGGCAGAACAAAAGAGGGTTTCAGTGGCTGTGCTCGTGGCTTGCCAACTGTTGCTGGCTGAGGAAAGAGACGTCACATATAGCCAAATCTTGACGAGGGAGGACCCTGTTCTCTCTACCTATGATTGGTGGGGGAAGCTCTTGGGGGGAAGGAGAGAGGGGTCAAGGGAGGGGGGGGGTGGGGCATTAAATTTGCTGCTGATGTCTTCACTTCGCTTGTTGTGGGGCCGTGTGTGGTTTGGTTGGTGAGCCAACTGCTGCTCGTGAGACGTGTGTAAGGCTGTAAGGAATAGATAAGGGCGACGAAGTGTGTCTCTCTTCTGGGCTGTAATGTGTTGTGTGGGCTGTTGTCTGTGGCCTTTGTCTGCTAACATTCACGAGGCCTTCGTTCTTTGAGGCCGATGGTTGATGTCTCAGGCTTTCTTGACACAATACATGCCTTGCCTTCATGTGCTGGAGAAATGGGCACTGCTCTGTCTGTCTGTCTGAGCAAATGAGCGAGCAAGGAAAGAGACGGCAACACATCCATCACACCACCAACACACACAAAGAGCCAGCCAGCCTTTGACAAAGACGGTGACTAACCGCCGTGTGTCTCATGCATCTATAGATTGAGAAAGACATACAGAAGAGAAAGACGCACACGAATTCTAGCTACTCCCGAACACCATACCTTTGTATCGACACTGGGAGGATTAATCGCCATCCACTTTCACGCCTCCACACCCCCACGTCCAACATCAAATACACACACCATCCGATGGACTAGACTAATCAATCAGCACAACAAACAAAGCGATTTGACAAACACACACAATTCACACACACGCGACAAGGTAAGGAAGGGACGGGACGTACACAAAAACGGGACGTACACAAAAAGCGGCAGGCAGGCAGGCAGGCAGGCAGGGAAAAACAAACTTCTTCACTTGTCTGTCCTTCACTTGTCCACCTGCCCATTCAGGAAAGGACATCCCCCCACCCGCACACCCGCCCCAGCAGCAGCAGCAGCGCTGCCCTTGTCCCTCCCCGTCACTGGGCAGGACCCCTCCACGCCCCCCATCATCATCAGCATGGGGCACCCACCCAGGTGTATTTCCTTGGCGTTGGCGGCGGTGGTGGTGGTCTCCTGCTCCGTCTCGCCCTCGCCCTCGCCCTCTTCCTCTTCCTCCTCCTCACACACCTCCTTGACCAAATCCGACATCACATTCTCAATATTGGCAGAGATGGTTGTGATGCTCCGCTTGAACACCGCCTGTGGGCTGCTCTCAATCTGCTGCCACAGGCTGCTCTCAAGCTGCTGCAGCTGATGCGGTGTGTTGCCCACGGTAGTCACCGCCCGCTTGACCATCTGGGTGAGCGCCTCCGAGCGGGCCGCTGATGGCTTCCGTGAGCTCTTGCGCGAGAACGACCGGGTCATCGACTTGGTGATGGTCTTCTGGATGCTCTCCGGCATGTCGATGTCGAGAGCCGACAGGGCGCTCTTGAAGGAGGCGCACTGCAGGGTGGCGACCGAGGCGGGTGTCTCATCTGGTGGGGTGTGTGGAGTGGAGGGGGTGGGGGGCGTGGGGGCGGGCAGGGCGTCGGCCTCATCGGCAGCCACCGACCAGAAGGCGAAGGTGCTGGCTGACGGCAGCACCGCGGGAAGGCGCTCGAGCACCGCCTCGATCCACAGCCACAGCTCGCTCTTCTCGGGGCTCGTCTTGTCCTTTTTGGGGCCAAAAGCCGAACCCTGCCTTTGCAGCTTGGCCTTGAGCGCCCGAGCGCCCTTGGCGAGGTCGAGGTCAGCCGCTCTCTCCGCCATGCTCTCCGTGAACTGGTTGAACATCTGCAGGAAGGAATCCAGGCAGACACACATACGCCATCCACAGATCATCCATCCGTGACATGTGTGGCTTTGCTGCAGACTGCACGCACCTGGCGAGGCACATCCTGTGTGTGGTCATACTGCGTCCCGGCAGAGAACTCCCTGTTCCTGGTGGAGAATGCCTGCAGGTAGGCGAAGGCTTTGCGCCTATGGCCACCGAGGAAGCCGTTGATGTAGGTGTCGACCACGTCCTGGTACAGCGACGACAGCTCGCTGTCCTTCGGCTGGCTCAACACAAACTCCCTGCACACACACACACAGAGTCATACAGAATGCCACATCCGCTAGCCACAGTTGCTCACTCACTGACCTCAGCTGCGGGCCGCCCTCCACGGCGTTGATAAAATCCACATGGTTGGGCTGCAGCAGAGGGCGTGTGCGGTGGACGACGCTGCCCAGCTCGCTCTTAAAGTTCTGTCGGCCCAGGAAGGCGTCCAGCAGATGGATGGTCGGATGCTGAGGGCCAGATGGACCGAAGTGACCGCCGTAACCCACCGTCAGCTTCGCAACGCTCAAGTGCCACACCTTTGGAGGCACCACCCTGACGACGTGACGAGAGAACAGATGAGATGAGGTGACACGACGCTCTCGGTGCGGTGCAGGCTTTGATTTTTTCTCATACTGCTCACTTGTGGGTAATGCGTGCAAATGCGTCGCTCATCCGCTCGATGGACGTCAGCATGGCAGGGAGCAGAGCCTTGACAGCGGCAACGTCACCTGAGGCAACAGCCTGACACCAACAATCCCGCCACACACACACACACAGACAACGATGGGCCAACCACTCTCACCACCCTCGGCCCTCCCCTCTCACACACGTACCTTCTGGCAGTCGACCACAAGCCCAGGCAGATCGGCGGTCGCGAGGTTCATGTCCGTCGTGGCACAAAAGAAGTGGAACTCGGTGGTCTCGCGTATGCGTCGGGTCTCCTCGTCCTCGCCCTCCATCAGCCCGGAGCACACGGGGGTGTCGAGCATCAGCGCGTCCTTGGGGATCTCCCACGCCTGCGCCCCCACATACTGCTGCACCAGCGACGGCTGCAGGGAGGTGTTGTTGAGGCAGAGGTCCGCCAACGTGCAGTAGTTGAGCGTGTGCAGCCGCGAGCTGATCTCCTGCATCGGCTGCTCCAGAGAGGGCGGGAAGTGCGTCGACTGTTTCCACAACTCCGACATGCCGTCGTCGCGGCGGCCCTCATCGACGTACGCCTGGGCAATGGTGTAGAGGAGCGACTTGGCCTTCAAGAGAGCGAGACCGTCAAGATGGCCAGTCTGCTCAATCGGCATCCGCGCCACAGTCTCGCGAAGCTTGCCGTCGGCGTACAGCTGGGCCACACGCGGCCGGAGGGCCACCCATGAGGCGGGCAGCACGTCGTCCTTCACCTCGTCGTAGGAGATCAGATCGACATTGAAGCCCCTGCACACACAACACACACACACACACAAGCGGAGGGATGAGATCTGTCTGTTGGCACTGCTCATCTCTTACCATGTTCTACTGAGGGGCCCTCGGACGATGTCACTACTGTCTAGAATCTGCTGAGCCGTGGCCGACATGACTCACCGAAACAACTACACTCTACCAACCGGTTCGTGTATTGGCAATCGAACAAAAATGCAGCGGGATGCTTCACACGAGAAGAACAGCTGCAGTGAGAAACCGAGGAGCCAACACTCCGAGAGCCAGATGAGGTGAAGTGATGCAGTTGGTGCAGATAAGCGAGGCTTGCGAACCGCTTGTAGTGATCGTCCTTCGTCAGACCTCTCAGTCAGTCCTCTGAGCTCTCCGTACGCACTATTCGCACATTTCTCTCTTCTCTCCACCAGGCTTCGGATCTTAGGACATTGCGTGAAACCACTCCTCTGAGCTTGCGAGGAGCACGGCCCGGAGCACAGCCTAAAATCTTCTTCAGCTCTGGCCCAACCGGGAGCAACGGTTCAACCAACTCAGTTTGCCAGCCAAAAGTGAGATGGACATCTTCGATGTGCTGCGGAGCGGTTGCAGCTTCTCCAAGGCCAACCACTCGAAGGACGTCCTCTTCCGAGCTCGTGCAGACTCTGAAGACCAATACCGCGGCACATCTGACCACCGCGAGGATGCATCTGGGAAAAAGCTGTCAGCTGACGTGTTCGCCGAACTCATCGACGGCAACCCCATGGAGAACAGGGAGCCTTCATCAGCTCGCGTCAGGGTAAAGCAGGAGCACGATGATCAGGAAGAGCATGACGGCACATCAGCAGCGGAAGAGGCCACCGACCCCCACACGCGCAGCGATGACACAGTCCGCCATCTGCGGCGGCAGCATGGCATTCACGTCCACGGCGGCACCGCCCCTCCCCTTATCGAGCAGTTCGACGAGCTGAGGCATCTCGGTGTGCCCGACTGGCTGGTCGACAACCTGCGGACGGGGCTGAAGTACGACGGGCCGACGCCCATCCAGATGCAGGCCATCCCGGCGCTGCTCGAGGGGCAAAAGGTGATCGCCTCTGCCCCCACTGGCTCGGGCAAGACCATGGCCTTCCTCGTCCCCCTCATCACACTCATCAAGGTGCGCGTTCGACAGTCCCACCTCACCAACGTGACAGTCTCGTTTGTGTGGTGTTGTGTTGTGTTGGCCGTCTCTGCAGGGCCCTGGGAAGGGTTTTGCGCGCATTCTGGTGGTTTGTCCCACCCGAGAGCTGGCACAGCAGAGCCTGAGGGAGTTCGATCGGCTTCGCGGCAGCAGGAAGTTCCGGGGCCGCCTGGTGGACAAGATCAACTTTGGCAGCGGAGATGAGGGTGTGAGGAGGGTGGACTTTGCAGTGACGACGCCCCTGAAGCTTGTGCAGCTGCTGCGTGACGGCAAGGTGACGCTCGATGGCGTTCAGTATCTCGTGCTGGATGAGGCCGACAAGCTGCTTGACATGGGGTGAGGGAGGGAGTCCACAGAGAGAGGATATATATATGTTGTGTGTTGTGTCGACGAATATAATGGCGGCTGTGCGCTTCTCTCTTTCTGTCAGGTTTTCACCGCAGCTGGACGAGATTCTGTCTCACTGCACCCACCCCTCCCTGCAGCCGATGCTCTTCTCGGCCACGATCCCGCCGGCCGTGCTGCAGCTGGCCGAGTCCATCATGCCCGCCCCTCTGCACATCTCTGTGGGGGTGGACAATGCGGCCAATACCGATGTGGACCAGCGGCTGATGTTTGTGAGTTCGGAGGAGGGAAAGCTCTTGGGTATGCGTCAGCTGCTGAGGGACGGGGAGGTCAAACCGCCCTGTCTGGTGTTTGTGCAGGACAAAGACAGGTAGGTCAGAGAGAGAGGGAGAGGGAGAGGGAAGGAGGCACACACGAAGAGCCTTCACGAGAGATCGGGTGTGGTGTAGTGTGGTGTGTTTTGATTGATGTGTGTGACACACAGGGCCCAGCAGCTGTTCAGCGAGCTGGTGTACGACGGGCTCTATGTGGACGTCATGCACTCGGACAAGAGCAAGACACAGCGCGACAACGTCATCAAGGCCTTCAGGGCTGGAAAGGTACATACAGTAAGTACACCTGACTCACTGACGCACCGGCACACACCGACACAGCTAGATCAGCTGTCTGACAAGTTGGTCACAAGGTATGTATCCATTCTGTTAACTGCAGATATGGGTGTTGATATGCACCGATCTGATGGCGCGTGGCGTGGACTTCAAGGGCGTGCAGGTGGTCATCAACTATGACTTCCCCCAGTCCGCCGCCACCTACATCCACAGAATCGGCCGGACGGGCAGAGCCGGCAGGAAAGGCACCGTACGTACGCACACCGGACACAACCCTCTGTCTCCCTCTCTCTCTCTCTCTGTGCACTGTGTTTGTATCTATGTGTCTGTCTGTCTGTCAGGCGATCACCTTCTTCACTCTGAATGACGTTCCCTACCTGCGGACGATCGTGAACGTGATGCGCCAGAGCGGCTGTGAGGTGCCCGAGTGGATGCTCAAGCTGCAGAAACCTAACAAGAAAGGTCCGCACGCGGGGAACAACATCCATGCACAGCAGGAAGGAGCCACACGCGCGGCTTGTCTTGTCGGCCCCCAGTCTGGTGCGTGTATGCACTCTGGTGCAGAGAGGCGGCGACTCGAGCAGCACCCACTCAAACGGAAAAGGATTGCCACTGGGAGCGGGTGTGTCACGTCACACACACACACAGACACACACACACACAGACACACACACACACAGACACACACACACACATTCAGACACCCACCTCTCCCCCTCCCCTCCCTCTCCTCTCAGGTACGATCTGCGGCAGGAGCACCGTCACCACGACACGGTCGAGGCCTCAAAGCGGCGAAAGCGCCAACACGACACACCCGAGGAGGGCGCCAACGAGCCGACACAGGCGACGGATGACGCCTCCGGTGGTCTGCCGTCGCTTTATCGCGTCAAGAAGGGTCACGACAGGAGCGGCCGGCGTGTGGTCAACAAGGGGGCAGCGAAGAGGAAGGCAAGGACGGAGGACAAGGGCGTGGCGAGGGGAGGGTCCAGCAGGGACGGTGATAGGAGCAGCAGGCTGCAGAAGCTCCGGTGGCTGGTATCCGAACAGACAGACAAGCAGACATGACAGAAAAGCAGGCAGACGAAAATGATGCCATGAATCGTTCCGAACGAAAAACCCCGGAACCCGAACCCTGCATTCATTGTGCAAAATGTGGCGCGAATCCACCACAAAATGCTCCTTACATGGAGAAAGTCGAATCTCGGGTCTGCCCAGCACTGTGCTGGTAAGGCCAATCAACGCACAGCAGATGGGTTCCAATGCATGCCCCTTCCCTCACTCACCAACCATCTTGTGTGTTCGTGTGCCTGCCTCGTCGTCCGGGCAGGTGCGTGCACGTGTGCGTGCGAAGCTGCCGGGACCAGTGAGCACTCGGCGACAGCAGCTGCCGACGTGGCAGCCCTCATCAGACAGCACGGACCCACCAAAGACAGCGTCGTCGCCTTCATCCATGCGGCCGGCGCAGCCACTGACAAGATCCGCCTTCTCGCCAAGCTCATCGAGGAGGACGCCTCGCTCGTGACCACCGCCAAGCTGCACTGGTTCTGCGAGCGGCCATGGCTGGACATCATCCTGTTCCTTCTGCACAGCGGAGCCCACGCGACGGTGAACGAGGTGGATGGAGAGGGCCTCACGCCTCTGGCCAAGGCTGCCAAGAATGGCGCCACCTGCGAGACGTTGCGGACGTTGCTCGTCTGGGGCGCGTCGGCACCGCTGGCCGGCGGCATGCTGAAAGTGAACGCCGATCTGCGGTCGGTAACACACATCGCATCGCATCGCAGCACGGTCCTCTCTAACTGCATTCGTTCGTTCAGGTACGCGTATGCCATGTACCTGCGAGTCGATCTGCAGCAGGCCATCCGCTCGGCCGTCCACAGCACCTTCCATTCAGTGGCCGTCACCGCCCGGCTGCTGGAGACCCTCGACAGCCCCGCGCGCCCCTTCCCCGTCAGCGACGCCGGCGTCGCTTACACGATCGCATCCTTCCTCCTAGACCTCAAGGCCATCCACACACACTTCCCCAAGGGAGATGCCCTGACGCGCCGCATTCACACGGCCCTCTTGCATGCGGTGTGCTCGACGGCGTCCACGTGCGGCAACAAGCTGGCCGCGGCAGAGACGCAGGCGCCGGAGCAGCAGTGCTTTGCTGTGAAGGACCTGTGTGGCCGGCGGCTGTGTCTGCGTGAGGTGGTGCGGCAAGCGGTGAGGAGGGGTCGGGCGGGGGCCTTTTCGTTCCACTCCGGCCGTCTGTGTGCGCGAGTCCCAGTCCTGCCTCCGTCTGTCTGTGGTTCTTTCTTCTTTCAGGTTCGTGAGGAGCTGACGGTTTGGGGTTTGTCGCCGCTATGTGAGGCATTCGAGTGGCGGCGTTTGGGAGGTGTGGAGCGGGCCGGGGAGGGAGAGCGGTTCGTGGCCTTTGATGGCCTGTGAGTAGATATGTATGTATCTGTGTGTGTGTGGTGGTTGGCCCCTCCCTCCCCGGTGTGGTCTCTGTGTGTTTGCGTGCATTGCAATCATTGCTGTCCGTCTTGCGTGCATATTGTGTGGATACATACATGTGTGTTATATATGTAATTGTATTGTGTGTATGCTCTGATTGACTGACTGACTAGTGTGGTGTGGTGTGCAGGGAGGCCATGCCATGTGTCTTTAGGCATGGGGTGCCTGCAGTAGGGACTGGCTTTGTCAAGCCTGCCTTTATCAGCCGTGCGTTGTGTGTGTGTGTTTGGCATCAATCAACATATATATAATGGAGCAACCAACACTTGACCAAAACCACACACACACATGCACACGCATCGCACAAGTCGATTACGTCTTATCATCATCCATCGTATTCTTCTGTGCCTGACAGTCGTCATTTCAGTTTGTTTCCGTGCACATCAATCACATCGATCATCGACACAGGCAGGCAGACAGACACGAGAGAGATCAGGACACACACCCACACGCACAAGCACACTCACATGCGATAATACACCAAACAACACACACACACACCCACCACATGCGATCCTCCCCCTCC